CGGGGAGCCCCAAAAGCTCCCGAAAAGCAGCCGGGATACAAACCTCCAGCATCCAAGTGGCCACCATCCTCCTCATGAAGGGCTGGATGTCCTTCTGGACGCACTTGAAGTAGGAGCAGTGGGGCAGGTACCTCTCCTCTATGGTGAGCAAGTTGTGCAAGACGCGGTCGTCGTAGAGCAAGCTCGGGTCGGGCAGAGCTCTCCTGATGGGATCCACCTCGCAGCAGAGCAGCTCCATGTTTCCAAAGAGATCTCCCTCCTTCTCTGATGGAAAAGGTTTGTTTTGTTGTTGTTGTTGTTTTGTTTTCTTTTTTTTTTGTTTGTTTGGGGTTTTTTTTCTGTTTTATTGGTTTTGGTGTGTTTTTTTTTTGAGGGGGGGAGAGGGGGTGGGGAAAAGAAAGGGTAAAGGAGGAGGGGTAGGTGGGTGGGAGGAAGACGGCAGGGCTTTCCAGCTCTCTCCTGCCTCCCTTGAAACTCGTCTCTCACACTCTTGATTTCTAGCCTAAAGTTGAAGCGAAGTGACGCAACTCGCAGGGCAGGCAGTTCTCTGTTATTGTGGAGAACAGCAGCTGGTCAGACGTAACATCAAACGCGGGTTTGGTTGTTGGGGGTTTTTTTTGTTGTTGTTGTTTGGTTGGTTGGTTTTCGCGTTTTTTTTTTCTCTATAAGCTAACAAGGAACCAGGAGGCCCTCGTATAGGGACACACACATACACCAATGACAGCTTCTCTTTTCTCTTCCTTCCAGCGACCAAATAAATCCGCTCCACACTTTTCCTTCTGCGGGAGTCCGTCTGAATCTCTCCTCCCCTGCCCCCCGCTTCCTTTGCTTCCTGCAGTATCTAAGGGCTCCAACCAAGACGACGGGGGTGAAGGATTAAATGTCCTGGCTCAGAGAGGTGACACATCCACGTCCCGCCCCGCACCCCCCTTCCGAGCCCTTGCTTCACTGCCTCTCCCCCTCCGGCACCCCATGACTCTGCAGCTGCGGGGGGGACACAGCTTGTCACTAACAGCAGCGGAACAGCAAACCCAAATAAAAAAGACCCCAAAGCCCCATGAGTTTCGGTGGCGTTTGCGGGGGTGAAACCTTAAGAATAATCACGACGCTACTTCCTCCGGCACACGTACGTGTTTCCAGCAGGCGAGCCGTCCTAGCACTGCATCGATAGAGAGACTTTCCAGGGAACGCGGCGGGGGAGGGAGGGGAGAGAGGAAGGAGAGAGGTTGGTAGGGGACACACGGACACGGACACAGACACAGACACACACACACACACACAGACGACACAGGAGTTACGTCACGCGCCGGGTGACTTCCACCTTCCTCGCACTTCGCCGGCGTCGCCGCCGTCACTCCCCG